CCCCAGTGCCCGGGTGACCCCGCCCCTCAGCCGGGACCCCCCTCCCCTCAGCCGGGACCCCCCTCCCCTCAGCCTGGGACCCCCCCTCAGCCTGCGGCACCCCCTCCCCTCAGCCTGGGACCCCCTCCCCTCAGCCGGGACCCCCCTCCCCTCAGCCTGGGACCCCCCTCCCCTCAGCCGGGACCCCCCTCCCCTCAGTTTGAGGGTCCCGGCACCCCAAAGACAGAGCCTGTACTTACTCCCAGGTTCCCGGCAGCCCCGGAGGACCCGCAGCCCCCGTGGAGCGTCCCCTTCGCTCGGGCCAGCGAGCACCAGGGCGCCCCGGCCCGGCTGCTGACCTCCCTGGACGGCGAGCACGGCAGCCCGGCTGGGGCGCGCCCGCTGCACCTCTGGGCCCCGAGAGGACCCCGGCCTCACCCCTTCTCCGTCTCCTGCAGGTGTCGTCCGGCCTCGGGGGCCCAGGCACCCTCCCGGCCATGAGCCCCGTCGGGCCCCGGGCGGTGAGCCCCGAGGAAGAGGCCCCGGGCTGCAAGCCGGTGAGGGCCCGGGCCTGGCAGCTGCAGTGGGGGGGCTGGCGGGCCCCACCGTGGTCTCGGAAGGGGGCGGGGCGGGCCTGGGGCCCCCAGCGCCGGCTCTGGGCCGGGACTGAGATGGTCAGGCGGCCGGGAGGCCTCCCTGGCCGCGGCCGCCCGCCCCGCAGGCGGAGGACGCCTTCAGGGACATCGCGCGGCACTTCTCCAAGGCGGAGTGGGCCGCCATGGGGCGCTGGGAGAAGCTGCGCTACCGCAACCTGAAGAGGAACTACCAGGCGCTGCTCGCTCTAGGTACCCAGGACGCTGACCTCGCTCTCCGGGCCCCACCTGTCCCTGCGCCTGGCCGCAAGCCTGCAGGGCGGCCGGTCCCCGTGGCGCCAGAGGCCGCCAGCAGCCTCACACCCGCCCGCGGCTCGCCTGCCTGCCTGCCTGTCCTCCTGCAGGCTCATCCCCAGTCCAGCCAAGATGTGCTTCCTCGCAGGTCTCCGAGCCCCTCGGCCAGCTTTCATGTGCCGCCGCAGGCTGGCCCTCAGGCCCCAGGGAGAGGACACTGAGGATTCCGATGAAGAATGGACGCCGCGGCAGCAAGGTGAGGAGGCCCCTGGCGAATGAAGGGGTCCTCCTGAACCCCACCTGGGTGAGGGCTCAGCTGCATCAGGGGTTCACAAAAGAAACAGTGTTTCCTCTAGAACACAAGTGTGCAGGAAATAAGATACAAAACATAGCAAGAGGCTGCTCATGCCAAAGTGTAAAGGGCCAAAAATTCTTTTTAGATACGCGGCTGAGCAGCAAGCTTATGCACACTGAAGGCCGCCCCGCCTCGTGGCAGGTGCTGGGGAGCTTGTCCCAGCCACTGTGGCCTGCGTGTGACCCCACCAGGGACGGACCCTCCTGTCCCAGCTGCCCCCTCAGCAGTGGGTTTCAGTGGATCCACCTGTTCTGCTCCCCGCTCTACTCTGATGAAGCTTCTCACACCCGCACCTCTGGCCTGCACCCCAGTTCTTGTAGCATAAATAAATAAATCTTAAAAAAAAACTGAAGGAGTGAATAGTACCAAATGAAGAATAGTCATCTGTAGGAGAAAGAGAAAGTGCTGGCAGGTGGCTTCGGTGTGTCTTGGTTTATTTTTTTCTTGGACTGTTTTTTAAACTTTGAAATAGAAATTATCTGAAGCCACAGATAATGTGGCACAATGTTGACATCAGATAAAATGATAGTGGATGCATACATAGGTTTCTCAGCAGAACTTTCCATTCTTTCCTATTTGTTTAAAATTTAAAAGATTATTTTTGCTAAATGTTGTTGATTAATAAAAGGACAACTAAAGAAACTCTAAACTTAAATCATCAAAGAGCTTTCTGACACTAATCTTAGGATACTTACAGAATTAAATGTCTCGGAGGAGGAAATGATTAACACTGCCTGTAAAGATACATGATTTATATATGTATATTTAACTCAAAACATGTGATCTTCTTATCCCAAAATGAACCTGATTCTCTGATTTGATTCTGGGGAAGTACTTGAGAGAGCTACTCACCTATATCCCTGGCCAGAAACGCCACTGGGCAGATGAAATGTTAATTATTATAAAATAATTTACGTTTAAAGCTAACTTCCTCCTGTGCTGTTTAGACTGGGGGGGGGGGTGTTTAGAGGAATCAACTGCATAAACTGGAGAAAGCAATTTAGATTAGGGTTTCCCATCTATGGATTTCTGCTGCCCTAGGCTCTTAAAAGTAGCTTAAGGTCAAGAAACTGAACACATGGCTATCCCCAAAGGTTTTGAAAGGAACATATATCCCCTGGCTTACCAGACACCTACACTTCTTTATCTGGGCTCATTTAAAACGTCCAACCCAGGCTTCCCTGGGGGTTAAGTTTCAGCACTATCACCACTGTAGCCTGAGTTCAAGCCCCAGCCAGGGAGTGACCCACAGGGCACAGAAGACCCCTCCTGTCTCCTGGCTGCTCCTCATCAGTGTGTTTCAGTAGCCTGTCTGCTCTGCTGCCCACTCTGTCTCTGGTGAGTCCTCTCTCACACACACCCCCCCACACACACACCTCTGGCCTACACCCAGTTCTCATATGCATAGATAACTATTAAATAATAACTCCAAGTCAGTGAATTTTTTAATGTAAAGGAAAAAAGCACCTAACAAATGTATCCTCTTCATAATTTTTTTGGTGCACAGTACATATTTTAACTCTATGCATATTATTGCCCAATGGCTCTCTAGAACTTTCTTCAGTTACATGACCAAAATTCTAAGCCTGTTGAACAGCAGCTCCATTTCCTCTTCACCCCTTACCTGGCAGCCACCATTCTATTTCCTGTTTCCTTAAACTTGATTAATTAGGTAGCTCCTGTGAATGGAATCATGCAGCATTTGTCTTTTGTGACCAGTTTGTCACAATGTCATATCAACAAGGTCCACTGATGCTGTAGAATATGACAGGATTTTCTTCTTTTGTGGAATACTACTCCATTTTATGTATAGGCCACATTTTTATTATCCACCCATCCATCAATAGACATTTGAGCTGTTACCACAGCTCGAGTATTGTGAATAATGCAGTAATGACCATGGGTTTGCAAATATTTACTCAAGATGCTACTTCAAGAGTTCTGGACATTTACCCAAGAGTAGAATGTGGGGTCACATGGCAGTTCTACTTTAATTTTTTTCGAGGAGGCTCTTGCTGTGTCTGTAGTTGCTGCCCAGTTTACATTCCACCCACAGTGTGTAGGGTTCCAGTGTCTCTACATCCAGTATTCATAATTGGTTCAAATTTCTGTGTCCTGATGAGAATCTCCAGAGTCTGGAAACATTTAGCAACTAAAGCAATGATTTCTCATCACATTTTAGTCAAACATCCATGGGTGGTGACCTTCAGAGCAGAACAGAGTAAACACCAGAAGGTAAGCATTTCCCAAATTCCGCTGCCAAGTCTTCCCCATGGGTCTGAACACAGGTAAGAGCATGAGAACACACAGAGAACCCCAGGAAGTGCCGGCCACCTCGTCTGACATGAGAAACAATCTCGTCATATGGCAGATAATCGGGTAGCAACAATAGCAGCTACCTCTTATGTCCATAGCGTTTCCAACTTTACCACAGGCATTTGACATGCGTAAGCTCGCGTAATTGTACCGCAGCCCTACATGGTGCAGCCCCTCACTTTCATCACATAGAGATGAGGAAACTGAGGCACAGAATTGACTCAGATCTCAGTATCACCGGTAGTGTAATCTAATCCAAAGTTTTCTCCAAACTGCTCATAAGTTCAACTTTTGTAGTTTTATAGTTTACATTGTGTTATCCCTCCATCTTAACATCACTCACCTGACTGACTTCAACTTCAGTCTTTCTGTTTTGTACTTTTTGAATATAGTACTTTTCCCTTACATCGTTGTCAATGTTTGGGCAGTAGCTCCCCTCAGTTATGGTCATCGGTGCTCCCCCCTCCCCAAACTCCACTTGCATCCCTCCCTACTTCCTCCCCCAACCCCTCCCCCTCTGGAGGACTCATATCTATGTTCAACTTTCAAGCTGTCTTCATCTGACCCTTTGCCAGCCCCAGATCTTTTCTGCTGTGGTAAAACCAAAGAGCCCTCTGACTAGTGAGAGCTGATTAGTATATGGGCAACCTGTATGGTGGATGATGTGTACTGTGGAAGGGTGAAGGCAATCAGGTACCCACCCTCTGAGCCTGCCACTCAGCTGCAAGGAAGGTCCAGGCTCTGGGGAGCTGTAGATTTGATGACTGAGAAACAACAAATAAGAAAATGACTTGAGGACTTTGTACAGGAACTTACACACTAGTCAAAAGGAACCTGCCCAGCTGAGATGATTTTAAACGCTGCTTCTGTCAGAGAAAGTAGCCGCTGCTTTCTCAGAGCTCCAATCAGGAAAATCTAAGTTGTTCGGAGTCCTTTGTTTAAGCTGCCTTCTGCCTCTGCAAGATCTTTGGCAGCCTGGTCCAGATGTGATTCCTCTCAGAAGCCCAGGCCCTACTGAGGGCACCCTGGAGACACCCATGTTTTTCGCATGAGCAACTCCACATTCACAAGTCCATCTAGAAGACAGGGGGTAAAGAATGCTGAAGATAATATCTTTGAGTTAGATTTCAAATGCAGGGGTTTTGGTGGCAGGTCTGTCAAGGGTCCCAAAGACACTTTGGGGGATACTTACATTTCACGTCACTCTGACTTTAAGAATTACCACGTGTCAGTCTGTGGATCAGGAAACTAAAGAGAACCAAACAGTAGTACAGTCTCACTCAGAGCGGGCAGAAGCCAGCTCACCTAAGCACAGACAGTCTTTCCCGGACGTGGCAGCTTGCAGCTGTTGCGTCACTTCCTGCCAGCCAGTTATTTGTCCTCTTCCTAAGAAAGAGAAGTTTGATTTCTGCCGCTGCTCCTTTCCTAGGTTGTTTGTTCCCTCTTATCTACATTTTCTCTTCCATTAAATACCTGCAACTCCCCTTTTTTTCTCTATAAGCCTTTTTTTTTCTTAACCATAACCTATCCCTCCCCACTCCCACTCAACCTTGGATACCTCTTTGGGGTGTCCATGTTCACTGTTTTTTAACGATTTCACTCCATCAGTACATCCACTTTGACTCCTTATTTTACTGATATATGTGATATTGCCCAATATTTGTCTTTATATTTCTGACTTGATCACTCCCGATTCCCTTACACTCCTCTCCTTACACGTGAATAGTGCTGTGTGCTCCTCTCACAGACCTCGTTGATCTTCCAGTGCCAATGTAGGGATGGTACTTCCTAGCGTGTGCCAACTTGACATGCCTTCGATGAGTGTTTTCTGAATGAATATTCACTCTCCCCACTCTCACTTTTATGGAGAATCTGAGAGAAAGCAGAAGGGAGAGAGCTTTAAGACATGGGGTCCAGTCCTGCATGCATTACCCACTTAGTGAACGCAATACCTTTGGAACTCAGACTCTTCCATTATTTACAAGGGCTGCTGAGGTGTTAACTAAAGTCACCCATGTGAGAACCTATCACAAGCCCTGACTGACTAGAGAAATACATGTTGTCTGTTAATTTGACTCTCACATTGCAGGGACTGTCCAGGGCTGCAGGAAGTAATGAACCTAGTTTGCAGGTAACGTCAGGAATAGCGGCTTTGCTGAACACCAGTGGCTCAGAGCGGGCCCAGAAACCAGTGAACCTTCCTAAAGAAGCAAATACCTCTAGACAGCGCTCGAGACAAAAACTGCGTAAGAGAAAATAATTTGGGGTTTCACCCCGAGTCTGGTTGAAAGGTTAAGAATGAAGTAGTGTGTGGGGTGGGCTTTGGATGTGCCTGAGCTTAAGCTGGGTTAAGCTTAACTACGAAGCTTTTTGGGGCGGGGGGCAAGGCAATGCTTGCGAATTCTCTGAGCTCCTGAGTGACCCACACAGTGAAGGCGCCGAAACACAGCTCAAGCACCATCTGAGAGCATTAAGTCAGCTTGAGAGAATCGACATGTGGGAGCCGCCAAGTACATCCACTGGCAATGTAGGGACGGCACGTCCTGGCATGTGCCAACGTGACGTGCCCTCGATGAATGTTTTCCAAATGAATCTGAGAGTGAACCGATGTGTAAGCAACAAGGCTGGGAGGTTAAACCTGATCATGGAAAGAGTCAGAAATTAAAATTGGATTAAGCATCTGAAGTCAGTGTGGGGTGTTGCTTGCTCTGCACTAACAACACAGAGGGAAGATGACTTGGTGAAAGATTTTGCATTTCCTGGCAAAACCGAAACAAACATTCCAGTCATGCCAGCCTCACACACCTACATTTTTCCACCTCAGAACTGAGGAGAAAGAAGCCTGACGTGAAGACGTATGCGCTGAGAGAGAGAAAGGGCCACGCGTACCAAGAGGTCAGCGAGCCCCAGGACGACGACTATCTCTGTAAGTGACCCCGGCCCTCACAGAGAAGGCCGCAGAGTCTCAGTCCGATAATCCCCTCTCATCACCCGCTTTCTCTGGAGACACGTAGGGCAGGACAGGGTGCGGGGTTCTCCCTGGGTGCTTCCTGACAGGTGCTCACTCTGCCCTCCGACCCCGTTGCTCTCCCCTCCAGACTGCGAGAACTGTCAGAACTTCTTCGTTGACAGCTGTGCTACCCATGGGCCCCCCACATTCGTCAAAGACAATGAGGTGGACAAGGGGCTTCCTGAGCGCTCAGCCCTCACCCTGCCCCCTGGGCTGAGGATCGGGCCGTCGAGCATCCCCAAGGCTGGGCTGGGAGTCTGGAACGACGCCTCTGACCTGCCACTGGGCCTGCATTTTGGCCCTTATGAGGGCCACGTCACAGAAGACGAAGAGGCTGCGAACAGCGGGTACTCCTGGCTGGTGAGAGCCACACGCCTCCCAGGGCAACGGCCTCGCCTTCTCCAGGTGGGCCAGGGGCTCTGAATGCTGTGTGGACTTCGCCTCACCACAAGCTCCATGTGCAATCGGGGAGGGTGAGAGCACAGGGAAGACGAGGGTGGTCACTGGCTTCTGGCCACGGAGAGATGAGAGGCCCAGAGGGTGAGCAAGGAGCCCCCTGCCCTGGCCCACAGCTGGAGGCCGAGTCCACGCGGCGAGAGCAGTGGTGGCAGAAGGGAACCACTTCTGTCCAAAAACACCTTCAACTTATTTTCCTAAAACACAGATCACCAAAGGGAGAAACTGCTACGAGTATGTGGATGGAGAAGACAAGTCTCAGGCCAACTGGATGAGGTGAAGCTGCTGGCCTCTGGGACCCGGAGAAGAGGCCTCTCAGGCCTTCCCATTCCTTTCCACGCCCTGTGGCCTCCTCCAAATCTCTGCACCTCCCTCCCCACCTCCCAGTGTTCTCTCATTTCCAGAGGGGGATAATGAAAAAGATACTGAGTGTCCTCAAAACATAAATCTATGTGGGCACTGGGGGAACGTAGAAGGGTTTCAGTTACCCCGAGGCGGTGGATTCCACCCAGTCGGCATGGCTGTGTGTGGCCTAGGGAGCACGCTGCAGATGCTACTGCGTACGCTGCCCCGTTTCTTCAGCTGTGCGCACGCCTGGGTCCCCTAGCCAGGGACCTGTGTCGGGCCCATGAGCTGGCGCTGGCCCTGCGAGCCTGCTGGGGGTGGGCAGCACCAGTCTGCCCCCGGCTTCTGTGTTTAGCGGCTCAGGCCCCCTGCAGGGCTCCCTTTCATCAGGGAACATCAAAAGTGAATAAACGAGGGTTGCCCCATGTTATGCTGCTAAGACAAAGGGCCCCCCAGGTTTCTGAGAAAACCTGGGGTGAATAGGGCCTCAGACAAAGCATGGGGAGAATGGAAAAGGCCCCTTGGAGATCAGCATAGGTGGCTGATGCTGGGGGCTCTGGCAAGACCTAAGGCCCCGGACAGGGCAGGAGAGGCCTGGGGCTTCCTGGCTCAGCAACAGCAGGCCAGGCCGAGTGGGCCTCATGAGTGGGTGTGTGGCAGGGACAGGCCACCCATGGGCCACAGGGAGCAGCACTGGGTAGGTGGGTGTCGCGTCCCTTGTTGGGGGGCTTAGGCATGGCCAGACAGTCCGCTGCAGGGGGCTCATCGCAGCAGGGGTTGGCTCTCAGGACAGAGACGGTGTGAGTCTGGAGCGCGGGGACTGACCACCTGGCCTTCTTCCCCTTTGCCCGTCAACCCAGGTATGTGAACTGTGCCAGGGATGAGGAGGAGCAGAACCTGGTGGCCTTCCAGTACCACAGGCAGATATTCTACCGCACCTGTCGGGTGGTGCGGCCGGGCCGTGAGTTGCTGGTCTGGTATGGTGACGAGTACGGCCGGGAGCTGGGCATCAAGTGGGGCAGCAACTGGAAGAGAGCGCGCTTGGCTGGGAGAGGTGGGTGCCTCGCGCCAGGCCTGGTGGGGAATCTGGGGCGAGTTCACGAAGACTCAGTAAAATTTCAAGTCGGACGCTTCAGAAATTAAGACGTTCAGTGCCTACTGACTCTTGGGAATTATGACATTTCAGTTTCGGTTCTTTTTATATTCCACGCACAAAATCCACAACAGTGTGGGGTGCTGCAGGTCGGGGTGTCTCAGCGGCAAGCTCACCGAGGTGGCCCCCACTGGCTCACCCAGAGCTGCTTGTAGCAGGACGTTCCCCCCAGGTCCCCGGCTGCCACGGGCCTCTGCGCCCGACAAGGACTCGAGCCCCAGAAAAACAGGCTGCACCATCCAGGTGCCGGTGGTGACACCCCCTTGGCCCATGGCAGCTCAGTGCGGAGCAGCCAGCGCCGGGAGTCCAGGCACTGCGGGAAAGGCCGCAGGAGGCCACAGCGGGCAGAGGCTCTGGAGGGAAACCTAGGGAGGCGGGGCGGGAGGCAGGCAGGCAGGCGTCTGGGGTAGCTGAGCTCCCGCGGCTCAAGTGGGGAGCAGTGAGGAAGAGGAAGCTGGGTGGACACGCGGCTCAGGCTCCGGCCACACTGACATTGGGGTTTCCCCGAGCAAGGTGGAGCAATGGAGTCGTTTAGGGCCGCACACTGGTATGCTGCGCTCTAAGTGACAAGTTGGTTAATTTTTGGAGAATCTACTGCAGGGCCACCCCCAGGTTACTTCATTCCCCAAGTGCTGGAGGAGGGGAATGGCCAGGCCAGAGAGGTAAGGCTGTGCGTAGACTTTGAAACAGGACTTCTGGTGTGCTTTGAAACAGGTTAAAACAGAATGAAATAAATCAAATGTGGCCCTCAGGAGCAAGGCTGGAAGAAGGGAATTTTTATATTTGCTGATTTGTGGGGAAGAGGAGCCATTCACAGCCTGTGTGGTGGCAGGAGCGAGTCTGTCAGTCGGCTGGGCCTGGGCAGTGCTGTCTGGTTCACACTGCTCCATGCTGAGTGGCTGCTAGGCTCACAGGTCCTCTCCCCTCGTGAGGCGGCACTACCAGGGTGCTCACGGGCTTCCCCTGGACACTGGGGGTGCTGGTGTGAGGGGGTCTCCCTGCAGCTCCCTGTCTGCAAGGAGCAGAGATGTCTGGTTCCATGTGCAGGGCCCTCATCTGGGTGAGATGTAGACAAGGCCCTGGGTGTGGACTTCCTGGGTTTTGAAGATTTAGTGAATAAATGGAATGGAAACATAGACCGTAAAGAAACACCTGGTGGAGGCAAAGTTTCCACCGTCAACACACTCAGAATGACCAGGGGAGGGGAAGGGCTCACTGGGAGACCAGGCCTATGGCCCAGGTGACCTTGTCAACAGGTATCCTCAGCAAACACTTCTTTCAGCAGAACCAAAGCCAGAGATCCATCCATGTCCCTCCTGTTCGCTGGCCTTCTCCACTGAGAAATTCCTCAACCAACATGTGCGACACCATCTTCCTGCCCAGACCTTCTCAGGAACATCTGTGAGAAAACACCGCCAATCAGAGGATCATCAGAATCGGCAGCAGCCACATGCTGGTCCCCACAGCATGAATGATGAACTTCAAAAACAATGCATCACAGAAAGGCCCAAACCTCTGCCTAAAAAGATAAGGCAGAAGGTTCCAAAGGCCTTTTCCAACCTTCCTACTGGGCAAAAGCGGAGCTCTAGGGAGCATGAGAAAGTGATGGAGGAAGAGCCAAGCACAGACCAGAAAGAGAATCCAAACACGGGCAGATTCACTGGGGTAGGGCTGTCAATAACTGTAACAGGCGAGTGCGGAGGGAGTGGGCGAGGCGTCCATGATCAGTCACACCTCATCACACACCAGAGGACACACACAGGGGAGAAGCCCT